CGCATCACTTTCACTCCCTGGGGCTCGGTTCCTCCGCTACAAGAGTATTATACTTAATACACTGTACTAAAAGCCAATGAAGCTTATCGTTACCTGATTGGAAACCGTTCGCGGCTATAGAACGCTCCTTTTCCCTCGATCCGACAAATTTCGGTGTATTTGTTCTCGTGCAAACGGGCAGGAATAAAATTTAATCGTTTGTTACAAGCTTTGATGGGATTGAAGCGTGAAATTGAAAATAAACAGGGGAGCAAATGGGAAATGTTCAAATAAAAGTGTGTACCAATGCTCACATTCAGGTCGAATAAAACGGTGAACTAAAATTGCAGAGGTGGAAGCGTATGAGGATGCATAAATTGAATTCTATTTGAAGCGTCCGATGCGTACAGCGAAGAACTTCCGCTAAATAAAATCAAACAGCCGTGCCGAGTATTGTTTATGAATCTTTGATGTCGCCGTCCAATCGGCGAACACCGAAAGCTGTATATCGACGTATTAATAAACGAAAGTTCAGACACAATCCGAAACAGAGAAAGTCGTTTCTCTAGTTAACTCTTCGCACTCGAGCGGCGACTCTCGGTCGTCGGACAACACGATACAGAAACATTACAAAGATTTGTATACAACATGAAGCTTCGCGAATCGCGCAAGAAATAAAATAGCTTCGCGACTTCTAAGTTTTCAGAAGCGTCGTCTAAATCTCATCGGGGAATATCGAATACTTCTACCGGAAATCTATCGAGAGCAAATAGTCAAAGTAAATTGCCAAGCCCCCGCAGAAACAAACTGAAACGACCGTGTACCTCTCAATGATTTTTGCACGTCCCCGCGAATCCATCTCCGAATCTAACAATCGTAGTCCGGCCGATGCATGTTTGCTTTTCAAATTATCGAATCCCGGCCGGCTCGCTATTTAAACAGTCCGCGCGAGCGATATTGACGAACGGTCGAGCGAAAAAATTCAATCATTTCCCCGGCCCCGATTGGCCGGGAGGGTTCAATATAAATTCCAGGATCGTATCGCGGCGCGAGGAGGAAAAATGGCGGGCCATGCGAGCGAAATTTCAATGAAAGAACGCGAGGGATTCGGGTCAGGGATGCGTGCCACCGCGACGCGACGCTGCGAGGGTAGTTAAGCTGCGAGCGAGAAGCATGGGGACGACGCCACGTGGCCCGGCGAAGCGTCTTCTCGCGCGATCGCGCCGACGATCGCGCGCCGGTCCACGGTAACGCGCGCCGCTCGCGGGATCGAAGGACGGACAGGCTCATGCAAACGAGATGCGGCACATCGAGGAGATATTTTAAGGCGACTGGGGAACAGAAAGAGATGAGAGAATGAGTCGGCGCGTCGCGGCTAGCGCGCGGCCACGTTTTACCTACTTTATCGCCTCCCACGTCTCGCTGCCAAACGTCTTCACAATCAGCCGCTCGAGGGCGTAATTCACAAAACCGTACTGCACATAAGAGAAAAATAATCGGATATATCCAAGGCGAGGAACGTATGAGCGCGATCGGTCCCCGGTCGACGAGTTCACGCGCTGGTCCCGCGAGTCCGTCACCGACGTCGCGGTCGTACGACACAAGACTGTCAACCGGCGCCCTGTCCCTTCGTTCGCGCGTCAGTCACAGTTCCGTCCTCGGTTTCGCGTCGACACGAGCACCGTCCTCTCTCGGTAGATTATATTCCTCTCCTCCGTTCTCTTTCGATTCGGTTTTCATTGAACGTACCATAGTGACTGAGAGAGGCCGGGAGAGAGAGAGCTTCCCCACGTATCATTCCATTCTAATTGCCATAGGAGCCGTGTTTACCTCGTGCACACGAGCCGCGTACTGGAAAGTCGGCCTGCCTTCCGTCAGAGACGATAAGTATTGATTTTCCACCCGCAGCTGCGCCACCTAGACGCAACCCTGTTACCCGCCTTCGGGACGATCACCACGCGCCTCCTACACCCTTCCACTGCCAATCCGCTTTAATGCCATTTTCCCGCTGTAGAATCAACAGTGATATATTTATTCACCCGGCGGACGAATGCTTAGAAAAAACTTTAATATCAACCGGTCGTCGGTTTTTTTCCGTATACCCTACAAGATAGACGTACGCTGCGAAGCTCTTACTGCGGCCACTCGAGAATCAGCCGAGAAAACGAATACTACCCGGCTTATGGCCATTGTTATTTGATACCGGAGTACTAGAACACGCGGAGTACCTTGATTGATAGCAGCTTATCTGCCGCGAGCATCGCTCCCCCTTATGCCGGGGGATACGGTCCCCTATCCGGCGATGTTTTTTTTCTCCATCCGGTCGCCTTTTCGATCCCGCCGCCCACGCACGCCGGAGTTCCTTCCCGATGGCGGATGTTTCATTTAGTTAGACGCTCCGGCGAACTTCCCGTTACAACCGCCTGAATAAAAGGAGATCGTATCGCGAGCCTTCGGGGGATTTTATCTCGAAAGCTCGGCCTTCGGAAATAAGAGCGCGCGTCTTATTGTCGACGGAGACCGGAAGCGGCCGAAGGAGGAGTCCGCCGGCGGCGAGTCCTGCGAAGGGAACGGGATCAGGGGTGACGGATTAATTTTCCATCGGCTTATGGGAAACTGGAGCGCGACGAATATTTCGGCCGAGGACGATGCTCGTCTCGTGAAATCTTGACTCCGTGGGATGCGCGGCGGGTAAGTAAGCTCGGCTTAAATTGTAATTAGAAACGATGGCAGGAATTCGTAGCGCTTCGGCGGGGCATCGAGGGCCGACCCGCTCCTCTCGCCGAGAGCCTCTCCGCCCGGCCCTGCCGCCGCGACGCGCATTGTCATCGGGCGAAGTTGAAACGAAGAAACCGGAAATTAGAGGGCCACCGCCTCCGTGCATCGCTGCTACGGCTTCATCGGTCTCCTTACGGCTGCGGCTGGGGATCTTCGCTTCGAATGTGGTGCTACGTAACGATTGCTGCAGACGTTCCTTCGTTATTTAATGTAACGTTATATAACGTTCACAGATATTTATCGCAGAGTTTATTCCGTTGTTGCTAGAAAAGTTGATGTTCGTGTAGATCGTGGAAATTGGAAGGTTAAAGATAGATTAAGATAGATATTCGTGTAATTGTATTAATCGAAGTCGACGTACGTTTAGCAACTGATGCTTAGTAAAATTCAGTACGCGTGAAATTAATGAATTCTGTGAAGCTAGTATTGAATTAGGGGTTTGGCATTGCATGTGAAATGCATAACCTGAAGTGTCAAACATGTCGTCTTCTTTTTTTCCTCGTCCTCCGTTATACTCTTTCTGTGTTGCGTTTTCAGTTTGAACTCACTTTTCTTTTTTGGGTCAGGTTCTAAAACTGCCTCCGGCTACACTTCGCTCTTATGCAACACTGTACAAAAGCATGCACTTGTAATGCTAACTATACAGGGCTGGAAAGAAGATGTGTTCCTTTCTGCATTGAACGCGTGCGTTTCTGGTTCTGCATTCAAGCTTCATTCAAATTTTACAAACATCCCATTGTACACCGTATGAATTACTAAAACATCTTCAGACCCGTTCGTAGCAATATCTCTCGGCCACCGTAACCTACCCCTAAACGGAGCGATCTCCAACATTCGAGCGGAGCTCATCGCGTTTCGCCGATAGCCGAGGGACGAAGGAAATGTACTTGCCAACGTCGATAATTTCATTCGAAACGATCGCGCTGTTTATCTCGCTGCGTCGAACAACTGATTACGTTACATCACGCAACGCGCAGAAAATAATTGGAATCTGCGCGCGGCCGAAGTCCATCGATACCCAAACCTCTTCGGCCCGAAGTGAAGCTCGCGATAATGAGTGGAATTTTCGCAACGACAAATAACGAGCCACCGGCAACCGGAGCCCGCGAGCAACAACTACGTTTCACAGAGAAGCAACCCAGAAAGAATTCTTAATTAAATCGCAGCGCACTTTAATCAGCCTTCATCGAAACGCATTCACCTCCGCCGACCCTCCGCCGTCCCCGTTCTCCCTCCGCGGAAGCTCGTTTGGACGAATAAGAGCTCAGAATTCTCTTTCAGAGGTGCCAGCGGATTTCTGGTGGCGCTCGAGCCCCGGCGAGGTTGCAGCAGGATCATTAAGGCGGATAAAAATTTAACAGAGCGCGGTCGCGCGTAGGATCGGCGGCGAGTTACGTCCTCGCCGGATTCCCGTTCGTCCGCGACTCGTTGGAATTCTGAAAATTTCAACGACGGACCGTCGGTCGGTCGCCCGCGATCGTAAATATTTCAAATCACCGGGACCCAGGGTGGAACTCGGCTGAACCCGATGTCCCGAGCGCCGGGCTCTTTAAAGGCTGACCTCTTTTTCAGCGAGACGGCCGCGACATCTCGCTACGCGGTCGCTGCGCGACGCGTCGTCAAGGGAATCGGGCGCCGGTCTTCGGCGTCCGCCCGCCCCCGGAACGGGAAACTTTTCCGCGCCAGTTCCTTTAATCCCACCCGAAATTTCCTTGTTGTCCCCGGGATTATTTCGACCCCCGGCTGGCGCGGCAGCGGCGGCGTCGCTCCCCGTCTATTACCGGGGCGGCATCCGCGACGGCGACACACTTTTACCCCGCAGATGTTTACCTTCGCAGCTGCCGCGTGCAACTTCGAAGACGTATTCGCTGCGCCGATGCTGCAATATCGGTATATAGGGCGCCCCAGGGAATCGCGCAGACCTCGTCCCCATTATGAAAGGCCAAAAGGGCAGGGCACGACGAGACCGGCCGCGAGAGACTCGAAGAAACGATCTCGGGAACATAATCGACGATCCGCCGGAAGACGCCTCGTCTCCACCAATTTCGAGCCGTGTTTTCGCCGAGTGCTCCGCGCAACGAAGTTACGGAACCACTTTCGCCTCTGTGCTCCGCCGCGACGAATGCGAGTGCCTCGCGCGGAGCTGTAATGCGGCGGGGAATATTGTTTTAAAATATAGCGACGCGGCGAGGGAACGGTTAAATGCGTTGTTAAAAATCAGGGAGGATGTCTGGAGTGTGTGTACCGTTTTAGTGGAGTTGCCAGCGACGTCTAAAAATGATGATGTTCCAGGTGGCCCGACTAATTGCTCCGTTTTATGTTGCAGTCTTGTAGAACATCTTGGTTCGCGTGGAACAGAGTAGGAGCTGAACAAGGCGTGTAGCTGCTTTAAGACAACAATCGGACCTGGAGCTTTCAACATTTCTTCGTGTCCACTGCCTGCGCTGGCCAGTAGGAAAAATCTGTTTAATGACTCGTAACTAACCGGCGTATCGCTTAACGGGTCATTTGAATGGGCTACGGGGATGTTATTACAATTTTTTCCATCGGCCACGCAAGCGGCCTGGGTTTCGCCCGATTCGCAATTGAAGAAACAACGTTAACGGCGTAATTGATTTCGTCCCGATAAAAAGAAGCCGGTCGCGTCGGATGAGATACCGTTCGCTGGGACAGAACAAGAAATATGGCCTCGTGTGGGCCGGCCGAAGCCACCGGTTACATGGAAGTGAGAAATGGCGCGGAGATACTAAAAGCAAAGAAGCTCCGGGGCGCCACGATGACTACTTGGAAATTAAATCGGTATAGGAACAAGGCGATCGTTCACTGGAGGCGCTCGATTGAATAGCTGTACCAACAGTAACACTTTTGCCTCGAAACATCGTCGTTGACTGAGTTGCGCAGCAAAGAATTCAAATGAAATGCGATAAAGTGAGATGCAGCGATAGGTGAGATTGGCGAAAAAATTGTAATAGGGTAAGTAGGGGTGAGATGATCCACCTGTTTCGAAGAACTATTATATCAGTAATATCATTAACACTAAAACTACCATACAGATCAAAATGACCCATTCCTGATTTCTTTTTTTGCGACTATTAAAAAGATAACAAATGTTTCTCTGGGAAATTATTAAAGGAATTGATTTACCTATACGCGAACTGAATTGTAAATCAATTAAAGTTTCAGCAGGTCCACTATTGGAGTTTCTATAAAATTTTAAAAAGTCAATTTAACTGCTCGGTAGTTTTAGTGTTAACATCTAAGAAAACAATATATACATTTGTGAAACTGAATAGTTAAATAGATATCTGCGTAATGTTTAGTTTACTACAAGGAGTAATTGAAGATATAGATATTTGACCTAAATACGATTAGCCCATCTCACCCAGAACTTCCCCAATTATTTCCATGTTTAACACGTTGAATGCCATGGGAGTTACCGGTGACCCCCAGCCAAATTGAATTATTATCATTCAATAAAACGACGAATATTTGAAAACATTTCTATATTATACATAATGTGACCTACGGTGACATTCAGCTGGATGATGCAATAATAATAATACAATTCAATCAAACGATCGAATACCATATTTCTTCCATTTTGTATATTTTGCTGTACGAAATCATGCGGCATTCAGCGTGTTAACCGACGGTTTGTTCATTACGGTCTCCTTAAAGGACATTAGATGGACCGACTCTGGACTTCCCTTTGCTCCTGCGTTTTAACTTGCAGCCAGGTTGGCCAACTTGTCATCTCGGTATGATACACGCGCAGCAGCAAACGAGGGACATGTTCCCCACCAGTTACAAGGTTCGGTTCGTCTGGGTCGCAGTGGAAGAGCGTTATCCGGCAGCGGCGGCGAACTACGGAATCGATGCAGCGACAGAATTTACGACCTCTATCACTAGCCAGGTTATGAGCTAAGATATAGTCTGACCACGGAGGGCGGTGGGGGTGGCCGGTGTTTGCCCGTGAAAGCATGAAAATAATGGCTGTTATATAATTGCGCGAACATTTACGAGCGGCAGTTTTACGAGCCGTCTCACTCCCGGGAAGAAGCAATCGTGTGTGCCGTCGAACGAAACGCACGGCCGAACCGGAAGG